CTTCATTTGCTGGCTCTTTGGAACTGACAATCTCCAAAGAGTACCCCGCCCCCCTTCCCCATCTAGTTTGAAGTTCATGACTTGTGGTGGGGGAGGAGGGTTGGTTAAGAAGTGGATATGGTTTAGGTCAGCCAAGCTCCCCCATGTCCCTGCCTTCAACCCATCCTTCCAGCCAGGCTCTCTCCCCCCTTTTGAAATCCCCAGGGAAAAAGACCTCCCTCCCCTACCCTTTACTCCTTTCCTATTGTGAAGCCCAATCTCTTTTCTGCCCCCTTAGTTTTCCACTCTTCTCTAGGCCATCTCCCAGTCCCCCTACCTTCCCTCTGACCATAGAGGTCCCTCAACCCTAGGGGAGGGATAGGGCCAGCAGTGGAGGAAGGGGATAGGAGCAGTGGACAGGCTTCCTCCTTCTTTACTGGGTTAGCTTCTCTTCCACTTCAAAGCCCTGGCCAGCTCACAAACCCACCCACACCCATAGCTCTCCTGCCCAGGTCCACATGTCATCTAACTCCCATTCACTATCTAGCCTTATTGTATTATTCAAAATGGAGGCAAAGATTTACTGTCCAGTCTAAACAGTTAACTCCTATAACTCCCCCCCTTTTCCATTCTTCACCCCTCCCATCCACTAACCCACAAATGCACTTCCCTCTCCCCCCTAGACAATGTAAATATTTATTCTTTTATGTCCATGTATTTGTTTTAGGGTCATTCCTCAGCTGTCTTATATGTCCTCTCCCCTTCCATCAGCATATCTGTCTCAGTAAGAACACCCCCAGGGCAGGGGCCCTGTCTTCCTCTTCGGATCTGGGGGTCCCAGAACCCTAACTTGCCTCCCCCCTTCCCTTATCTCCTCATCAGATTCTGGCAGCTCTACCCCCAGGTTCCCCTTTCTGTCACTCTGGGCTTCCATCTCTCACACTCCTGAGCTCAATATCCTGTCATTTATGATATTTTGTGGCATTAAAGTGTCCAGGCAGAAGAAAAATATGATGCCTACACTCACACCTTGTAAATCTTCCTCCATCTCTCCAGATCCCTTCCATCTGTCTGTCCCTCTTTCTCTGGTTATTTCAGCTAATGCGTTTGGAAAAGACCAGGGATTGGACCTTCTCTCCCCTCCCATGCCACCACCCCCTCCCCTGGGCCTCAGGCAATGCCCAGTCCAGAAGACAAGGTCCAACTAGGGGACTGAGCAGAGACATAGTTAGCTCCAGGGTTGTCCCAACTGTTCATCATGTGGAATTATAACCCTGGGTCTCTACCCCACCCCAATCCTTCTACCTACCCCAGGATCCTTTGCCTAATTTCACAATTGATTCTCATATTCTGCTTGCCCAATTTACTCTTACTTAAACCAAAAAAATCCCCAGGAGCATCCTCCACCAGGAAGCCCTCCTAAATTCAACAGGGCACAAACACAGAGACCAAAGGATCTCATCACACACATCATCCATTATTCCATCATTTTTCAAACTAGTTTGGGCAGTGAGGATGTCATAAGTGGGAAGGAGAATAAAGAAAGCAATGGGTATAGAAATGGGGGTGGGATAGGGAAAGGAGAAGAGAGGATATTTTCCTAATTAAAATTCAAAAAGAATCCAAAAAAATCCAGCTAGCCCATAGTATTAGTCTCTTCCTATGTCTACTCCGTCCCTAGGGAACAGTGTGGACCACCTGCTGACCCTCTGGGAAATCTATAGTCAGACCAGGCCCTCTAGCTTCAGGCCAGCTGGTCCCCACTGTGCCATCAACCAACTTTTTTCTAATATGTTTGCTCTTCTATTCTAAGCTCTCTAGGGAAGATCTTACCTTACCCTGTTGGTTGTCTAAACTCAGTCCATCTTGCTACAATGCCCAGCTAGCTCCCTCTAGTTCTGTTTTTGGGGTGGAAGACTCTTGCCAGCATCTCTATTGATCTTTCAAAGATTTTTAAATAATGACATTGCCCCTCTTGGACTTTTAGGTCCCACAAATTTCCATCCACAATCCCTGACTCTGGTCCCCAACTAGTTCATTCCTACAGGCATTCCCCAAGTGCCTCTCTTAGAGGTCTCTCTGCTTCCATTCTCAACAACCCCCACCACACACACACACAGCCTTCACTGTTTTCATTCTCCCAGGCACCTTCAACCCTGAGGCCTCACAGACTGAGGAGGACTACCATCACTCCCCCCTCCACCCCCATCCCTGACGGCTAACCCCTCCACTAAAGAGTAGGAGACCCTGCAGCTCACCCCATCCAACCCCCACCCCCTGAGTAAAAGAAAATGCCAAGTCTGTTTGGGATTTGAGATGAAAAGCACTGGACCTGGCCCCTGGCCTGGCCCCCAGGCCCCTGCCCTGGCCTGGCCCCCAGCCCTTTGTGGGAGCTAAGAAAAAAAGACCAAGTAGAGACTGGATTCCCTGGACAATAGGCCGTTCCGCTCCATCAGCTCAGGACTCTGAAATAAGACAAGCTCCCACAGCCTCCCAGGACCAGGGAGGGGGCATGTGTCAATCAAGAGAGCAAGCCCCACCCCTTCCTAGGTGTTTACTAGAGGGTGAGGGGAGAGGGAGGGTGATACAGAGATAGGGATAATTTGTCAGAGACAGCTACTGTTGTCCCTCCTCCTGAAAGTCAAACATGATTACATCATGGACAGGGAGATGTTACAGCCCAGCCTTCCTCCCCACAACACAAACACACACACACACACACACACACACACACACCTTGATTCACTTTCTGCCCAAACTATACCCAGGCAACTATCTGCCTTCTCCCTCGTCCAGGAAGACTTCCTAAATTTCATTGTCAGAAGTCATTCATTTACCCAAAATATGACAGCCAGCTACCGCCTCAGCCCCACCAACCCCAAGACATTTCAAACAGACAGTGTGCATACCTCCCATTCTCTCTGATACCTAATAACTGTATATGGTCATGGGACAAGTCACTTAACCAACAACTACCAACACAGGCAGCTAGGTGGTGCAGCAGCTAGAGCTCTGGACCTGGAGTCAGGAAGAACTAAGTTCAAATCCTATCTCAGACACTCAAAAGCTGTGTGACCCTGGGCAAGGTGCTTATATGCCTCAGTCTCCCCATTTGTAAAATGGGGGCAATAATAACACCCATTTCCTGAGGTTGTTGAGAAGATAATAATAGCTGACATTTTGATAATGTCTTATGGTTACAAAGTAAGTACATTGTATACATTTTTTCATTTGATTTCACGACACTCCAGTGAGATACATAGTACGTGTTAACATTCTCATTTTACTGATAAGAAAACAGAGGCTCAGAATCTAAATGACTTACCCAAGGTGACCCAGCTAATATGGAGCAGAGCCAAGGCTTCATCCTAGGTCTATTTGCCTCCATAATAGCATTCTGCCTCTTGTCTGGGAGCAAACCAAAAGTGTAGAAACCCTCAACCCCCACCCATGGAGTCCAGACTTCCAAGCAGCCCACCCCTCACAGTGTCTACTCCACAAAAGAAGGGGCTATGTCCCTGAGAAAAGATTCTCTGTTTCTTAGCTATAGGTATCCCTACCCTGCTGTGGGTGCCCACCTTGGTCCCCAGGCCAGGTGCTCCCCCTACCTCTCTGCCACTGCCAATGCACGGAGGGTCATCAACTTCCTGGGGATCCCTGCACCTCTGAACTCCAAACTTCTCTCTTCCCACCTCCAGGATCCTCAAGCCCGAGGAAAAATGGTGACAGATTCTGAAAGTGCAGAGGGCACAGGTTATCACAGCAAAGCACTTTCCTCACTCACAGTGGTCCTTTGAAGTAGGAAATACGAATTGCCATCTTTGATATGGGGAAACTGAAGGATGGAAGGGATTTTGTCCACAGTCATTTTATCCAGGGGGTTGTGTCCATACCTTTGCTAGGCCTGGAACCCAGGTCTGAGGACTCTAAATTAGGGGCACCTTCCACTCCAGAGGGCTATCTACAGGAGGCAACACCTCTTGAAGAGTTCAGGACCATTTTACATCCACTCATCCAGCTCAGGAGACTCAATACTTCTTTGACATACAACAAGGTAAATAGAGCCCTGGAGGGGCTCCCAGGAACATCCTCCACCAGGAAGCCCTCCTAAATTCAACAGGGCACAAACACAGAGACCAAAGGATCTCATCACACACATCATCCATTATCCCATCATTTTTCAAACTAGTTTGGGCAGTGAGGATGTCATAAGTGGGAAGGAGAATAAAGGAAGCAATGGGTATAGAAATGGGGGTGGAATAGGGAAAGGAGAAGAGAGGATATTTTCCTAATTAAAATTCAAAAAGAATCCAAAAAACAGGGACTGCAATGTGGATTTGCAGAGCTCATACTATAGCTTCTCCCAGCTGTACAGAGGTACAGGCATGGATGAAAATCAATCAGTCCAACCTCTCCCCAACATAAAATCACACACAACACATGCACCTATGAAGAGCCCTCAAGGGACTGTACCCTTGAAGAGAGCCCTGTCCACGTTAGCAGTCAGAATATCTGCAGAATTAATGAGAGAACTGTAGACATTAATGCTGGGAGTGGGAATTGGGACAGGGTGAGGGGAAGGGATCAGTATGGAAGACTGCCTAGAAGAAGAGGAGGGCATGGAGCAAGCCTGGAGGAAAAAAGGAGGGTCCAGGCAAGGCATCTGTTTTACTTCTTTCATGGAAAGAGATGGAATTTCTATCTGTCTCTGTTGAGAGCTTTCTGGTGATTTCTGTGTCTGTGTAGCTCTGCATTTGTCTGTTGTCTCCCTGTCTTTCCAGTCTCTTATTCCTTCCATTTACTTCTCTCTCTCTCTCTC